CCTGGCCGCCCCGGGGGAGCTGGGCTCTGGGGCGAACATGGAGGCCGGCACTGGCGAGTCCATCGGGGAGCGACTCCGCTCCGCCGCCATCTTTAATAACTTAGGCTAATTCGCAGCCTGCTGCCCTCCCTCCCGGCTCATTTGACTAATCTATGCGCGGCCACGCCCCATCCTCATTGGAATAATGTATGCGGAGTTTGTCCCGCTGAGCAGAGGGTGACACATATCTCTAGCTAAAATACAATTGACCAGGCCTCTCAGCCGCCAATCGCTGCAGCCTTTTCAAGCACCTAATGAATAATCAACGAGGCTAAAACCCCAACAACAAAAGTCTGAGACGTCACGCGCCCCGGCCGCAGTCCAGGAGTTGGCAACAGGGTGTCCACGCTACCTACCTGTAATTTTATCACCAACCGGAGCGGAGTTCAGTATAATTGACATAGCAGCCATCCAATAAAAAGATCAATTCTTACTTTTATTTCCCTCCTGCACCGCCCCTTCACGCTCCTGCCTTCCAGGGGCGGGGCGCGGCTCCCAAATTTTATGGCAAGACAGCAGGCGCCAAAAGCCTCCGGTTGATGGGCGGGGACGCAATCCAATCTAGTCCTCCACGGGTCCTGCGCCTGGAGCTGCTGCTCTACAAGATAGTAAACTGCAAAATGAACCGCCCCCTCAATCCAATGACTGAGGCAGAGGCTGGAACACGCTGTCCGCTGTGCTGGCATACGCCAGACAAATTTGATAGTAGAATTGATGCTGTATATTCCAAGAGTTGTAATACTATAGCAGTCAGAGTGAGGCAATTAATTCAAAAGCTGACCTTAGGGAGATTTCTCCATTCATTGCCTCTGCGGAGACAGCAATTTCCTGAATAGAAAAACTGTAATCAGCAAAATGCAAGCCAAAAGCACCTCAATACATTTCCAGTCAAACAGCTGAGGCAAACTCTAAGCTCTGTTAAGGTAGTTTCCTTTGGATTATTTTTCCACCATATCATCAATTGTGGAAAGCCCCAATCCAAAATACCATATGCACAGTTTTAAATCCTTGTTTCAAAAATCGGAAGGCCTAGACTTTCAATGAATTTAGGAATTGACTATGTCTAATAATACTAAGTTTTGCCCTTCTCCTACGCAGTAATCAAAAAAGAGCAACCATTTGAAATGGTAACCAAGATTTAGGGTTCTGACAGCAGAAGTTAGTGAGCAGGAAGTAGTAGGGATCTGAAAGAGACGGCCTCTTTCCTATTTTCAATTAGGTACCATCAAGTCATATATATGCAAATAAAACAGCTGTTTTTTTAATTTCATGAAGGACTAAGTGCAACATTGATATCTGCTAGTGATGACCTGGTGAAGGACTACTTGTCAAATAGCTGATTGTTTTTTACTGTTTTCTAACCTCAAGACATCATTAAGGCAAAGCCTGTATGACTGTACACAAAAACAAATGGTTGCAGGGGTCTCACTACCAATAAAATGGTAAGTAAACAAATCTTTTTCCGGCAGGAGGGAAAAAATAGCACCCTGTGTGATTTGCCCTACAAGATGAATTTCCTGGAAAGAATCTGATGAAAATAGCTGTGATCACAGGAGGAGGGCTGGTGACATTTCTGAAGGATGCAGCAGAGGTTCAGCTGGGCTTATCTGAATGTGCTACTTTTCTGAGGCTTAAGCCATCACCTCTTAGGTGTTGGTTTTCTTCTGACCGTTTCATTTCTCTCTGAAGTCTTTCCCACTCTTCTATTAGCTTCCCTACTTCTGTACCATTGAGCAAAACACTGCAGTTTGGGCCTGGGTCTATCTCGTTTAGATACATTCAATGAAGCAGCTTTGCTAGGTTCCCTATCATTCAATTTATCCTTTTCATTCGGCATTTCAAATGCACGTCTCAGTTTAAAATCCATTATTTCAGCCTCTTTAATTAATAAAGGGTGCTGGAAAAACTGCCTTTTCACACACTGAAGATTGAAACTAGACCTATATCTTTCACCATGCACTAATCTAAAATGGGAATAGATCAAATATCTAAATACTAAAGCAGAAACACTAAATCTGCTGGAAGAGAGAATAGGTAGAATGCTTGAGGACACAGGAGTAGGCAAAGACTTCATGAACAAAACCCAGACTCCATGGGAAATACTACAAAGAATCAATAACTGGGATCTCATCTTATTAAAAGCTTTTGCACAGCAAGAGAAACCACCAACAGAGCGAAAAGACAGCCCATAGAGTGAGAAAATATTTTTTTTTACTAACTATTCAAATAAAGGGCTTCTAGAATATATAAATATATCTAGAATATATCAAGAACTCAAAAAAGACCCCCCAAATATAAAGTCCCAATGCAAATAGGCATTTGAAATAAAAAGACACTTCTCAGATGAAGAATTAGAAATGGCAAATAAATATGTAAAAAAATGTTGGACATCATAGGTCATGGGTGAAATGCAAATTAAAACAATGCTGAGATTCCATCTCACTCCAGAAAGAATGGCTCCTATCAAGAAATCAACCAAGGGCTGGAGATTTAGCTCAGTGGCAACATGCCTGCCTCATAGGCTCAAGGTCTAGTTTGACCCCCAGTACAAAGAAAGAAAGAAAGAAACCAATAACAAATGCTGGAGGAAGGGCTGTGGGGAAAAAAGAACCCTTCTCCATTGTTGGTGGGAGTGTAGACTGGTATAACCACTGTGGAAAGCAGAGTGAAGATTTCTCAAAAAACTAAAACTAGAGGTTCCATTTGACCCAGCTATTTTCCCTTCTTGGTATCCTCCTAAAAGAATTAAAAGCATCATTCCACAACTATATATGCCCACCCATGTTTATAGCAGCACATTTTGTAGTAGTTAAATCTTGGGAACAGCCCAAATGTTCATCAACAGATGAGTGGATGAAGATGTGGTACATATATATAGGAGTACTACTCTGAATAAGGATGAGCTTCAGATATTTCTAGCTAAATGGATGCATCTTGAGGTCATACTCTTAAGTGAAATAAATTGGACACACATTTAAATACTGCAGTTTCTCTGGTGTGAGAAATTGAATGAGGAAGTAAGGACTGATATGCATAAAGAATGTTGGGAAATGGGAAGAAAATGTTCAAATAGGAAGGGTAAAAAGGGAAGAGGGAGAGAGAAAGGAAGGGACAAGAAAAAAGTGAAAATAGAAGGAAAAATGGAAACAAAGTTTTTGTATTAGGGAGGGGGGCTCGAGGGGGGAATGGGATAAAATAAAATTTATTTTAAAAATAAAAAATAAATCCTGAACATTAAAAAAATCCATTATTTTATTGAGTGTTGCCTCTTTCCACACAGCTTCCTTATCAAAAGTGTTTGCTGGAGCAAACATTGTACCATGAACTTGTTTACTCTCCTTACTTGGCTCAGAGTCAAAGGGCTGTAGCATTAGTCACAGCCGACCCTGAGCAGTAATTTCATGGTTGGGCCTGACCCAGTACTGGTGAGATGTTGTAATTTTCACTTTGAAACACGTTTTCTAGCTCATGGATTTCACAATTTAAGATCTGGGGTGACTACAACTGTGAAGGGGTCTTTGAATTCCAGGTCTGTGGACAGCTTGAGGACTGGGTTCTGCTAGTGCTTCACCACGGCCCTGGAGTAGGGCATTAGAAACAGGTTAGAGTAGTGGCATAACCCAGGGCCTTGATACCTGCTGCTCGGTCCAGGTTCATGAGGTTCATGGGCCACTGCAAGGTTACAACTGACTCAACCCCACACAATCACCACAGCCACCCATACTGCCACATTAAGGGTTTTTTGTTTGTTTGTTTTCTTGAGATAGGGTCTCATTATGCAGTGCAGGCTGGCCTTGAACTCACTGTGTAGCCCACACTGGACTTGAACTCACAGTGATCCTCCTGCCACAGCCTCCCAAGTGCCACAGGCTCAGGCATGTACCACTATGCCTGGCTAACATCAAGCCTCATTTGTACAAACACAGCTGGGAATGTGAGATGAGGAATCATGCAATTTCAGTGGTCTTGATAATTTTTCTGAGGTGCTCCCCCCGCCAGCTGAACTGCTCACCACCATCCCATATACTCTTCTACCTGGTCCCATGAGTAGTTAAAACACTAAAATCTTGGTTTGTTAGAAAAGTCAAATACCTATAATAATTCAAATATTCTATAACAATTGCCTGTGCTAATGTGTTCATAAAATTGCTGGATTCTCCTGAGTAACAAGTATTTTTTGTATGCTAGAAAGCTGAGTGGTGGATAGGGGCTGGTCACTGGAAAGACCAAGGCAAGATGAAAGGGTTGGGAGTCCAGCCCATCTTTTGCGAAGAGGAATGAAGCTTAACTTGGTAATCAGCGAACAGTATTCACTCGGTCATACCTGTGTAATGGAGCGTTCATTAAAAAAAAAAAAAACCCACAAAAAACAAAAACAATTTGTAGCAGTTTCCAGAGTGAAACACCTAGAGGTTTCTGGAGCACATCATATCCAGAGAGGACACAGGAGCTCCACGCCCTTTCCCATATATCTTGCTGTTGATCTCTTCCACCTGCATCCTCTGCAATATCCTTTATAGTAAACTGGTAAATGTTTCCCTGAATTCCATGAGCTGCTTGAGCGGGTTAATTGGACCACGGAGGAGGTCATGAGTACCCTGCTCTATGGAGCTGGTTTAGCCAGAAGTTCCAGAGGCCTGGCCTTGCACTTGGTGCCTGAAATGACAAGCAGTCGTGTGAGCCTGAGTTCCTTCACCCATAGCATCTGATGCTATCTTCAGATAAGCGTCAGAACTGAATTGGAAGATGCTCATCTAGTGTCTGCTGCAAAAAACGACTGGTTTCTGGGAAGAAAGAAATCCACAATTTGGTGACCAGAAGTGCTGTGTTATAACTCCATCACCCCAGAATGATGTTTAGCATAACTCACCCACTGGATCTTCAAGGCAAAAGCTCAAGTTCAAAACGTACTACCTGATACCCAATCAAAACTAAAAGACTAAAAAAATGCCTTTCCCACTATATGACTTTGCCTAGAAAAAAGAGATTCTCAGAGTAGGTGCTTTCTTAAAGGGGAAAGTCTAAAATAACATTTCAGAGGAATTCCGTCTTTATATCCTCTTTGTGAAGACAGGTTAGGTTAGGTGTGACCTTGAGCAACTTCTTTAAGCTTCAGTTTTCTCCCCTAAAAAAAAAGTACCAAATAAGATAATTGGCAGTAAATAACACAACAGTTATTGCCACACAGTAGGCCTCAGTAACTAACTTTACGTAAGTATGCCATAACCCTTAGGAGGCTTACAAATTACAAAAATCTAAGATAATTCAGCAGCGGTCTGAAGAGCCGCCGACGCTACCAACGTGGTAATCGCCCAAGCATGTTAAATAACACCGAGGAATGGAATGGTCTAGTGGGTCGTGTTGAAAAAGGGTCAAAATGACTGAAGGAAGTGAGATTTCTTCTTTTAATGTTTTATCTATTCGCCGAACAAAGATCCAAAAGGAGGGCTGCTACGGGGTATATATAACTGATGCTTTCCACCTCCCGTAGGAGTAAAAAGCAAACTATCCATGTAAACCTGCTGGTCTGCCTCCTGACACAAAGCGCTCGGATAAGGCTTGAGACTACGCAGAGGAAAGCCCTGTGACAGCCACCACGGGGCGCGGGGGTGTGGGGCAAAAGGGTAGCGGTTTGTATGGGCTGAGCTGAAACACGACACTAGGAACAGAAATAGAATGCTCTTTCCCACTGGCGAGGTGCTAACCTTCGGTGTTCCGGACTGCGAGGCGGTCTGGCTCATTAATCAAAACAATTTGTGCCCCACCAGTTTCGAAACCACCTGGTGAATGGCGCGCTAGGCAGAAAACGGTCTGGGCAGGAGCCGCAGTCCAGGTTGGGGAAGGAACAGTGCCCAGCAGGGCCGGTTGGGGCGTGCAGCGAAGGACGGCCCCAGGCTGGGTCAACGCCCCGGCACCGCACCACCGCCCAGCGAAGCGGGCTGGCGTCCAGAGAGACTCCCTACCCTGGGGCGGG